AATCTCTTTGGATAGGAAGATGCATTGGGTTTGATGGGATAAGGTGTTAGTGAGTGGGGGTGTAGGTGACCCCTCTCTTCAATGTTTCACGGGGTATTGGTGTTTGACCTATAGAAGGAGGTCTCGACTAAAGACTTATACCCTTAGGCGTTACCATAAGGGGTAGAGCATGAGCAGTGTTTTGGTGATTTTGGTGTTGTATAATCAAGTTCTTCCCTATTGCCATTTTCTGTCTCTTAAGCCTTTCATCCACCTCCACTAACATGGTCTTTCACCAACTCCCTCAATTAACCTCCTAATTTTGGTTGAATCTTAGCATGAAAAGTTGTTGAACTTTCATTTTGTTTGACTTCTTTCTCGTGTACTTGGTCAAATAAATGGCTTGTCAAATCAATTTCAAATCAGTGTTTATTTATCTTGTATAGGGTCTTTTAATATACTACATCTGTCCCAAATTGATGGTCTACGTTTGAATTTTGAAGTTTTTTTCTTCAACTTTGACCTTAAATATTTTTATTTTTATAGATAATACTTGATGCAAAATATATGAATGGATTGTATTTTAAATGTTTTTTCATTGTTATAAGTTTTATCAACTAATATATAACACAAATAAAAATATTTAAGGTCAAAGTTGAAGAAAAAAGTCTTCAAAAGTCAAAAGTGGACTATCAATTTGAAACGGAGGGAGTAATTTGCAAAAATGCAGCTTTTGGTCCTCAAATCTCGTACAATTGTTTTTGTTTAAAAATGGTACTTATGATGATATGATGTTACAAATATAATCCCTCATCTTATATAATAATTTGTAGATTTATCTTTGCACTTTTTATTTCTACTTTAAGCATTTATCAAATTTGTACACATAATTCATATCACATTGATAATACTCAGAAATCAATACCAGTTAAACTTTGTATTATTATGAAAAAGTGGTGTTTTATGTATATTTTGTGTTGATGGTGTTTTATGCAGACTTTTTTTTGTCATAAACCATACAAATATTATAAAAGGATCCGTTGGGATAATGGAGAAAGTGATACTCATATTTAGGTGAAAAAGCCAATATCCTAGATATTTCCCATATGTAGAAGCACAATGACATAATAGAAAAAAAATAAGAGTGGGATGATATAATATGCCAATGTAATTTTATTTCCTTACCTATAATAACAATGTGCTATCCTTATCAATAATATCAATGTACTTGGTTCTTTACTGATAATAGTAATACATATAGAAGTTCTTACCCATAACAACAATGTAATAATCTAACCAAAATTTGATAATTTAGTGCCATTGACATTCCCAAATAATTTAGTCGGTTCCGGTTTTCATGATTGAAGACCCTCCTCGATATCATTTTAGTATTCATGGTACAACACATTAAACTTGAATATGAATTAAGAATTATGAGCTCAATGTAACACCTACAAGTTTATGCATTAATAACACAATTTTCATATTAAATGTGAAGAGCCATGAGTCTTGTTTTATATATAAACTTGAATATGAATTAAGGATTATGAGTTCCATGTAACACCTACAAGTTTGCAATTTAACTAATAGTTGATTAATTGATTTTAATGAAGGTCATTCTTATAAAGTTTCAAACATCACACTCAAATATCATCAAACAAACATGGAGTCAGAGAGAAATGATAATGAGATGGAAGTTACACAGGTTAGTATAGTCGGGTGACTGAAAAAACATTCATATTAAATGTGACAAAATTGAGTAGGTAACTTTGATGGTTGTGATAACTTAATTGAAATTGCATTCGTATTGTATAGTCACTTTATATATCTTATTAAGATATTGCATTTTAAAGTTGTATCCATTTATAATAAGTACTTTCAAAAGTATTTTTATGTGTATATGTTTTGAAACCATTTTTGGTTTGAAAATCCCATGTTGTACTTTTGACATCCACTTTACCTAAAGTCTTGGACTAATCGCGAAAAATTTATTAAAAAACAAAAAATAAAAAACATAATATTTGGACTTTTAATTTTTTTTGATATCTTATAGATTTAGGTTCTTGAATTAAAAATTTAAATGTAATAAATTAAAAGTTTAAAAGTTGAGACATTATTATATATATATATATATATATATATATATATATATATATATATATATATATATTCACATGACTCTTAGGAATAGTAGTTTTTAGGCCATTTAGACATTTGTGAAAGAACATTTAGATTCACGATTCAAACAAAGATAAGTTTCACAAAAACACACGATGTAAATAAGATTTCAATTTCATTAACGAGTAACTCAGAACAATTTGATACAACTTAAAGAAATATTCTATCTGCTAACTTTTACCCATTCTTCTATCTAATATTCCTATATATAGGCATCACAGTAATAGAAGGAAAGCATCTCAAGTCAACAACTAGGTTGCGAACTTAAGGAAACAAAATGTGCGAGATCACAACTTAGCTCACACAAAGTAAAGACATTACAAACAGACCAATACAAGTTGACACAATAAAAACTACGAACTCTACAATCTCCCACTTTGTGTCAATTTACTTCAGTTGTTTTTACTTTTGGTTTCTTCATAGAATCAAACACTTTCGACATTGTCTTCAACAGAAAGAACGAACTCTGATCCACCACTTGATCATATCCGAAACGCACTTCAAAACATCTAGAAGAACTTTTCTTGAACTTCTCAGCATTTGACAAGATTTGATTTAAAGCCACTGAAGAATACAAGTGATTATAAATCAAATAAAACATACACTTCTTCGGAACTACATTTTCTTTCACTTTGGATACCACTCCCCAGTTTTCATTCTCAATGAACCCAACCTTCACAGAATCAAGATTTTCAGGAGAATCCATTGGTTTCATGATATGCCTTCTGTTCAAAATAGACGAGATTTCAACATCCATCTTTGCGATCTCAACTATATACGCTTTAATCAACCTCTTCATATGTGAACAAATGGGTTCATACTTGACATGCTCTCTTGAAATGATGTTAAGAATTGAAATCCAATCAAAACGATTCATCAACGGAAGATCAGCCAAGGTAAACTCATATGCTTCATGATTGTTGCCACGAACAGCTTTGAAGTGAATGTTTATAAGATCATCAACCTTTTCTGATTTCCAAACTTTCAAACCAACAATCTTCTTTATGTTCCAAGAATCATATTGCGGTTTTGAATGCTTCACATAAAAATTGAACAACTTTATGTTGATTGTAGTGTTTCCTATGAATACCTTCTGAATACTTTTAAGGCAAAGAAATTGAAAGGCTTTTGTAGTGATGGGCAAGTCCATTTGACAATCAACATCATTTTCAACAGAGAATGAAGTTTGAGGTTCTAACCAGTAAAGCTTTGGATTGTTGAGAGCTTCATCTTCAATTCTTTCAAGTGACCAAGGAGGAAATAAAGCTTTCTTATTCGCAAGAATTGCTTCAACATTCTTCTTTTTAGCCTCCTCATAATTAAGCTTTGCATTTAAAACATTAAGCTCATCCAGAAATGCATCACATTTCACTTGTTCAACTTGTTGTTCTTTAGTCAATTGTGGACTCAACTCATCTACCTTTTCATAAACAATTTTCACCTTTCCTTTTCCCGAACCAAAAGTTTCATTACCCTTTTGGCCAGTTTTCTTTTCTTATAAATTCTTTAGTTTTTCTTCCAAAGACCTATTCTCCAAATTAATTTTCTCATTGTTGTTTTCCATTGGACCAGTTTGGTAAGGATTGTTGATTTTAACTTCCGGAAACACCCCTTCTTCTCCCCCTTGTTGTGAAGTAGCCTTGCTACTCGTAACATTTGAAATATCATTTAACTTTGCGAGAATAGGTTTAAGATTTGCATCCATAAGCTGCGATATGTAATCTGCATAAGGAGCATCTTTTGTTTCAACAATCTTAACCAACTATTGATTTATCTGGAAATTTTCCCCTTTCACCAACAAGAACTCTTCATTTTCTTTGCCAAGATCAAAAGCAGAAGATGTCAATTATTACCTAAGAACTTTGATCTTTGTGGTAGAATCAACCAAAGCATCCATTATTTTGTTTTCATGAGCCTGACTTGACTGTAGAGTAAGAATGGAGTTGGTAATAGATGTATGATGATCAACATTATCTTTTTGTAACCCAAAGCGATGTTCAGACAAGGCATCTTTTTCATTCTGCAACGAGGTACAAAAACAAAGAATCACCTTGTTCATATCAGAAACATTTTTATCAAAAGATGTATGAAATGAATTCATGAAAGCCTCTTTCTTTGTTGCAATAGAATTGACTTCTATGAGAATCGTGGAGACTTGCGAACTAGAATCTGTGATCAGTTTAGAAGAATCTTCAACAAGCTTCTTGTGTTGTGAAAGATTATCATCATTACCTTGAACAACTTTTGGATTGTTTCTTGATGAGAAGAGATCAACTCTTCATACTTCATATTCATAAAAGTAGAAGACTGAGAAAGAATTTCATCTAACTTCTTGTTCAGCTTGCGAAAATCACCTTTAGTCATTGGAGCATTATCATCATCATCACTTTCCATATGAAATGAAAATCCAGTTGCGACAAATTCATCATTTAACTCAGAATCATCTTTCATGAGAACTTCTTCAAAATTATCAATGACAAGTGGAATAGAAGCGAATTCTGGTGCAGACACATTTTGTTGAGACAAATTCGCACAAATATTGACATTTTGCCCCACATCATATGTGTTATCAGGGACGCCTGAGGTTCTAATCTCTTCCCGACGGGATTCAAAACTAGAAGCCTCTGGTGGAGGTTCTGTATAAGTTGTGGTTTAAGATACAGAAGTAACAGTTGCCTCAGTAAAACAGGAATCTCAAATGGTTTCGTTGAAAACTGAGAAACAAGAGCAAAAATTGTAGTTGTTGGAATTGGAATGGATTGAGAAGTAGCAGAAACAGTTGGTGGAGTAGGAGGTGTTTGAGAAAGATTGAGAAAAGGATCATCAACAACCTGTTTATAAATTTATGCTTCAGATTCCATATGCGAAGAAACAAGAGGAGTTTGAATTGGCTCCAAAACAATTATTGATTTCAGCCCAATGTTCGCAGAATCTTCTTCATTGTTGAGAGCACACTCCTTTTCATTATGATCAAGGCTTTCAGTATGCTCACTTGATTCTTCTTCTATAATAAGTTGAGTAAGCCTCCGCCTCTTTTTCTTTTTAGATTTTATAGACACAATTGTTTTCCTTTTTCGCTGAGAACCTTTTGATTTCTTCTTTGGAATTTCCTTTTTATGAATTGAATCATATCCAACATCTCCAGTATGAACTGCAGTCTTCAAATACTCAAGAATGATAGGATGATCAGTAGGAACCCTAGATAACATGGATTGAGAAAATGAACCCACTATCAAGAAGTTCTTTGGATGAAAACTAACAAACATTGCAGTCTGCATCTTGGAAATATCAGCAATAACAAAATCTTGCATCTCTAGAATATGATAATGGAGCATAGAATTCCTCACCACAATGGACCAAAAACGACCTTTGTTTATGAAGCAAGACTTTGAACAAATTAATCCCATAAGATAGCTCCAAAATCAATCTTTTCATCATAATAAATTCCATATAACAAAGTGTGAAATAATCGAATTGCATTATCAGACCCAGTTGATCTTTCAGAAAAGCATTTGAACATTATCGTAAACAATGCATTCCAAATGGGTGGAAGTCCAGACTTCTTAAAGCGAGAAAGAACAGATAAATCAGAGATGTACCCTATTTTTTGATAGACTTGAATAATGGTTGATGCATAAATTTTGTCTGGAGAAATCAATTCTTGAGCAGTTGAAAGCCCTAACAACTTGCACAAATTCGATTTGGAAATAAACGTCTTCACCCCTTGAATTTCAAAGTTCATAACCTCCATCAGCTTATTGTAACTAGCAGTAGAATATGCCAATGATAACTGAGAAATCAGAACATCCTCAACCATAACCAAAGCTTTCTTCAGTATAGACTAATCCAAACAAACAATCAGGGGTTGAACCAGTTGAGAATACTTCGATAGATCAAGAACAACCACCATATTCTAATTTAACTTGATATTCAACATTGCAGATGAAGAAGATTGGTCCATGAAAGAGATACGATCAGAAGAAGCCATGTGCTTTAAGCAGAAAATCGTCAGTGAAAGGTTGAAATTTAGGGTTTTTGAGTGTAGAAAGGAAGATGATGAAAAATTAGGGTTTTAAACGGTGAGAGAAATGTGGGATTTGAATTTGAACCGTTTATAGAATTAGAGAGAGAAAACCCGCCACCATGCATTAAATATTTTACATCTCTGATGTCAACAAATGGTATCCTACCAATCATTTCAAACATATCCACCTCATCAAAATTCTATAACAAACTTCAACCGCCGTCTATTGAACATCATGATGTCAGACCCTTTGAAGACATGCCTTGAATTTTAAAATTCAAAAGAAACATGCCTTTTCGGTTTGCAGCAGTTTCACAATCACTGATCCACCCTTCAATTTTCGCAAATTGAAATATTATCCTTTGGAATTACGACCAGGATTGTCGTTCACAATCGCATTGAGATTTTCACCATGAAATAAAACACAAAGTTTTGAAAAATCAGAGATTTCAGTGCAAATGTGTGCCAAAAGAAAAGATAGAAGCAAATTTTTTAAAAAAGTTGGATAAGTAGTGATATCAAAGAATCTTTGGTATAAAAGCAGTTTGATCCCAGGCACAGATTCTCTTCCTTAAATAGTCAAGAATGACTAAGAAGTGCTTGTGTGGTTTCCCCTTGAATCACGATCGTCAACTTGTTAAGATGTTACGAAAGGCATCTTTTCATAGGTTTTATGGGTAGGCTCATTTCCAATCACAGAAGCAACTTAACATAAGTGCTAAGATACGAAAGGAAAAACTTGATTGACCAATGTAGCCAAGATCAAGTTCAGCAAAAATGCTATAGTGATTGGAAAGTAACGTCGAGAAAAGAAAAATGTTCAGACGAAAATCTCATATTGTGAAAAATAATAATAAAGCTGCATCTTATTGGGAAGAAATTAATCTGGAATCAATTAATCTCATGAAGATCTTGCAAACGAAAATTAAGAGATCTTGAACATTAAAAGATATGGTGCGCCATTGCAAAATATAAGAATTTCAACTGTCAATTCCTTTATTTCATACTAGAACAAAAATGTTCACCGTTAATTCATTTTAGGAAATGTTTGTTGGGTTTCACCAAGACCATGGTAATAATGACTAAACATAGAATCTTTGCACACCTACATCCTAGTTATTTTAGAATAGAGATGTCTTGGGATATGCGTCATAGTGTGTGCATTGTGTAAGAAATATAAGATTGGAAAAGAAAAACGAGTTTTTCACATTCTTAAGTTAACAATGAAAATGATCATAAAAACAATTATTGATAAACCTAACTCTGAGTTTGTATAAACTTGAAAGATCAAGGGTTAATAAAAATTATTGTTGTAAGATCCGTCAATTCATTAAGGTTTAGATAGGAACCGTATGTTTGGATTTGTATATACCCAAGACATCATCGGTTTCCAAGATTGGTTAAAAGAAATACAATTCCTCTGCTACGAAAGATTAACCAAGTAGAGATCTCTAAACTCTGAAATGAGTAGAGATACGTAGCTCGATGATTTTTGTTAATACGGCCTATTGGGAAGAAATCCTTAGAAAAAGAAATTTCATTAAGGCCTTTTTGCAAATAAAGAATCTTTGAGACTTTAGACAACATGCTGCAACATGCTTCTAGGGACACCTAACTAATGCAAACAAGAATAACAACCGATCCCCAAGGAAATAGGCATGCCAACTAATACAACTTGAAACACAAAAATAAAGAAAAAAAATGTTTTTGGATTTTTGAATCTTTTTGAAAAAACTAAAGACAAAAATAAGAAAAATCTTTTTGAATTTTTGAATGTTTTTGAAAAACTAAAGACAAAAATTAGAAAAATATTTTTGAATTTTTGAATATTTTTGAAAAACTAAAGAAAAAAATAATAAATAATACCAAGAGCACCAGCTTGTGAAAGACCACACCTTCTCGCATCTAAGTATGTTGTGAAAAACCAAAGTGCCAATGACTACGAAATTCGCAACGCATCGCAAGTGAACAATAATCTTTCGTAACTTCACGGATTTGAATTCAGGACTTATTCAACATCAATCATTCCAAGTCCTTGCAAAATTCTGTTAAATGTGATCTCGGGTAAAGCTTTCGTGAAAATATCAGCCAGCTGATCCTCTGATCGAATAAAAAGTACTTCAACGTTTTCGTCTTCAACATGATCTTTTATAAAATGATAACGTAACGCGATGTGCTTTGTCTTTGAATGTTGACATGGATATGACAAATACATATGACACTTTCAGAATCACAATATAAAGGAATCTTTTTCATGTTCATACCATAGTCTTTAAGCTGACATTGTATCCAGACAATTTGCGAAGTTCACGAGGGTGTTCGAATAAATTCAACTTCTGCACCTGATAAAGATACACATGTTTGTTTCTTTGATTGTCAGCTGTCACACCCCCAAACCGGAACGGCGAAAACGTACGGGGGTGGTTGACGTCATGCGTAGTATCGCAACAGTTGTATCATAGCAAGCATAGTAAACACAACCAAACATTGAATATATATATGAAAATGGTTTATATTTTCTTAGTACATAGTTTTGTTTATAACAAAAGTAAAATCGAAAGACGTGACTAACGCGCCGACTTCTCCAAACTCCTGGAAGTACATGTCTACTAAATCCCTGAGAACACAAGCAGTTTTGAAAGAATATCAGCATAAAGCTGGTGAGTTCATAACCATTTAGTTTGGTGGAAAATGTTTCTTTGAATCCTTTTGAAAAATGTTCCTCAAGAAAATCCTATATTTTCTTATGAAAAGCGTGTTTGAAAACCCATTCCTTCCATGACTTCCAGATTCATACAAGGTATGTACAATCCAAGGAGTCGTGGAATGAATATGAATATCCGTTTGTTACATGTTAAAAATTCCGTTTATGAAAAGCCGAGTTATTCTGGGAAAATCCTATATCTTCCCTAAAAGTTGATCATTGATTATCCGTTCTAAACTGAGGTGTACAAGTATCTACCATACTTATATCGATAAACGTTGTTTTCTTTTAAAAACCCTGGTTACTCCCAGTGAGGTATATTAGCCTTATTACATAAATAAAACTAATAAAAGAAAACATGGTAAACTACATCCTAAAAGCATTGTTAATACCCTCCAGTAATCAATCGGTTATTACTTTGAGGTTAGTTCACTTGATCCATTATTACAAAAGTAAATCTCTGTTATCTACATTGTAAGTTTCATGACCATAATTGACTGGATATGGCACGTAAAGGAGCCGGTATCCTTTATGACTTTGTCACCCGTAGACCTGCCGGTACGACTGTAGCTAGCAGTAAGGTGCGGGATTGTCAGTCCCGTATAGATCTATACACAATAGTCATGCTCTCCCTACAAGAGATTCTGGTCACAAGTGCTAGTCCTACACTATGATTTGTGGGAGTGTTACCAAGGACATGTCTCCAACTTAGACTAAGAAATTTACAAGTAATAATATAGAAAATCCTTTTGTGATTAACATGAATCCTTTATAAAATGATACATTTTACTACATGATTCATAAGTTCATTGCTCTAGTTTTGAAAACTGTTTCTACGAGTTGATTTCTTAATCGTTTGGTAAAACTGTTTTCCGTGTTAAAAGCGTACTGAAAATATAATTATCTTAAACAAAATAATATACTTTGATCACAAGTTTCCTTGTGCTTTTGCTTGTATTCTCCCCCTAAAAACATGAAAAACTCGGAAAAAGCGTAGGGGTATGAACTCACCTCGGGCGATTTGAATGAAGGATCGATACGGAATGCGGGATGTTCAAGTGAAGCCGTGAACACGATTTGATCCTAATTAACATGTAATGACACATAAAGGAGTCAAATGAAGGTATTTCCCTATTAAATATGATGGAGAAACACTCTAAGAACTTGGGACTACTTACACTAAGTGCTAGGACCTTAAAGGATTGCACGAGGGATGTGTATGTCCACCTTAAAGGTGTGTGCAGCCATGGGTGTGCGGCCCAAGGGGTGTGTGGCTGTACACTCATGATGGAAGGTACCTTTGAGGTGTTTTCAAGGTCCATACTTGCATCCATGAAGTGTTCTAGGTCCATACTTAGTTGTAGTACAAGTTTAGGGTCTTAGAAATGGGTTTGTGGTCCTAGGGTGTGTGTGTGTGGTCGCACACGGGAGTGTGCTGCCGCACACAAGGAGTGTGCTACCGCACAAGGGTGTGTGCAGCCGTACACAGGTGTGTGCGGTCGTACACCCTACATGATGATGTCCAAAATGCCAATTCTAGGGTGTAGCAAAGCTAGGTTCATGTCCAAATCGAATATGGAAGTCAAACTCTCACTTTGGAGGGTCTT